TGAAGGGGAAGGACTGCTGTAGTTATTCCAGTTGCGTTATGTTTTAGAATTTATCTTCAGGAAATCACTGAAGGCATATATCATGTCATCATAACGATCTAAAGTGGGAATAAGACCATTACTGTACAGTGTATTCACACAGTGGCCATATTCTTCTATTTTAACTCACCAAGAAAAAAAAAAACATTAAAATTAGAGCAGACTTTGTAAAAAGCTCATTCTCAACCACTAGACTTTTCTAACAGGATATTCGAGTGTCATCGAGTGTCAGAATGTTGTGGGACTGCTGTACAGAAGTTGTGATTATGGATTATAGTTCGTGAAATTTTGCATTTTTTATTTTAGCTGTTTTATATATATATATATATATATATATATATATATATATATATATATATATATATATTCATAATGCAGTTATGAATATATTAAAATGTGTTTGTTTGTTGTAAAAATTTGTAATAATGACTAAAAATACTAATTTGTGGATCTCCTTACTTCTGGGTGCAGCTATCCTGCTGTTGTGACTGGTGTATTCTGGGAAATTTTCTTACCCCTTGGTTTCGAGTTTGAAAAATCTCAGTTTGAAGGGGTATCTAGCCCTTCCGCTTAGCCCTACACCTTCAAGCTAAAGAGAATTGGGACACCCCTACCCCTTCATGTGAAATTGTAAATTGAGGGGTAGGGGTAAGGGGCAGGGGTAAGGGATAGAATTGGGATTGGGCCTAAGCCAATGGAAAATTAATTAATCAATAAAAACTTCATTATATTCGTCTTGACTTTTCATCTTTACCTTTTTTACTGTGTAGTATTGAGCACTATATACTTATTATAGTAAGTATTCTGTTTTCTCAATGTATAAATTTTGAGTGGATGGTTTTTGGAAAATTATTAACTTCCAATAATCACGAGACATTTAAAGTTCAGAAAAGCAACCAAAAACATAGTCTAAACATACCATCTGTCCTCATTGGTTCAACAGAAATCATACGAAACTCCAAAAACACTTTTGTACACGCCACAAAAAAAAAATGTTTGTTTTGTGTCAAATAATAGTACGTTTAATAAACATGATCCAAGGCCTGTCCAAGTTTTCAAGTTGCCTTTTCAAGTTGTAAATAAAACAGTGTTTTTTGAAACTAATGAAAACAGCACAAGTCAATGATTTATTTGAATTATTTAGCCTGACATGTTTACTGTTGAGGCGGCATGGTGGCTCAGTGGTTAGTACTGTCGCCTCACAGCAAGAAGGTTGTTGGTTATTGAATTTGCATGTTCTCCCTGTGTTGGCGTGGGTTTTCTCCGGGTGCTCCGATTTCCCCCACAGTCCAAAGACGTGCGCAATAGGGGAATTGAATAAGCTAAATTGGCTGTAGTGTGTGTGTGTGTGTGTGTGTGTGTGTGAGAGAGAGAGAGTGTATGGATGTTTCTAAGTACTGGATTGCGGCTGGAAGGGTGTCCGCTGCATATAACATACGCTAGAATAGTTGGCGGTTCATTCCTTTGTGGCGATCAGAGATTAAGCCAAAGGAAAATTAATGAAGGAATGTTTACTGTTCCAAAATATGTTAAATGTTTCCTAAAATAAAATATATTGAGTTCAATGGGGGAAAAAGCTCCTGTTTTTTTACCCAAACATTTAAAAAGAACATGTTTTAGAGCAGTAATCACAATACCATGAAAATAACCATGACATTTTTAATCATACCATCAGAATTTTTTACCCCTTCCCATGCCTACTCCTTTTGCAAGAGCACAGCTGAACAACTTCACTCCTCATGCTATTAGATTGCAAAACTGAGCCGTATCTTGACGTAGATGTGTGGTGTTTAGTGGGTGTTTGTGGGATTTGGCCTGGTCCCCATCAGCAGCTGCTTGAATCGGGCTTCAGCACCTGGAAGTGTTGCGAAAGAACCGTTTTTTGTTTTTTTTCCCAGAGACTGTGAGAAATGTCAGGAATTGCGGCTGTAATCTCTGCTTTTATCCACTGCGTTGTGAGTCTGCATGCTGGGCTTTCCTGTGACAGCAGTGATTAGGAGCATCTGTGTGAAAGAGACGATCGCCAGCTTTTGTTATTGGGTGTCTGTGCTGTGAGTTTCTCCATCCACCAGTCGTCAACATCCATCAGATGTTTCATTGAGATGTTTGTTCTTTGTTTGTTGGTTTGTGTTTTTAATTATTTCATAGATTTGGTTTTCTGATGTCTTGAGGTTGAGTCAAAGCCTTTTTTTTAGCAGCAAGTGTTAAAAAGCTCTTTTTTTATGTACAGTTGAAGTCTGAAGCCCCCTTGTTTATTTTTCCCCTAATTTTTGTTTAACCCTTTACTACCCAAACAAGAAAAAAAAATGTTTGGATTTTCTTACTCCTAATGTGGCTAGTTAACACATCCCATAATTTATAAAATATCAGCCTCTACCAAATTGTTGATATGTCAGTTTATGGTAAAAATACCAGAATAAATACATATACTATAATGAAAAATCTGAAAATCTGAAGTCTAAGACCAATTTATTTGAAAAAATATTCAAAATAAAAAAATTTTAAATACTTTTTTTTACATGCCATAAAATTTTTCAGATTCTCATTTAACATGTTTTTATTAAAACAAAAATCAAGTGTCATAGTGCAACAGGATTTTTTACTTATATATTTTATAATAAAATGTAAGTATTTTATTATGTTTTATTCTGTAGTTCAAACAAAACCCAATAAATATATTTTAGAAAATGGCTCTATATTTTTGAGTTAACATTAACATTAATGTATTATGTATCACTGAATACTCAAAAATATAAAACCATTTTCTAAAATATATTTATTGGCTTCGACGCAAGATGGCGGCACGTACATATCGCGAGGCCCGGCGTCTCTGCAGTTTCACTGCATTTCGTTGCATTGTACTTGTACTTGTGTAATGACAATAAAGTTGAATCTAATCTAATCTAAAATTACATGTAAAGATATTCATAATTCATAAAACATATGCAAATATTATTTTAAATAAATGCTTTTTTACATTTGATCAAAGTATTCAAAAAAAAGTCAAATGTATTGAGGTTTCCTTCAGATTACGAAGCAGGACAAAATAACTTCCAACATTGTCAATTATAGGAATCCTTATTAATGACTTGGCCCACACGGAATCTGCGTGCACAGATTTCCGCAGATCTCTGCAGATTTTGAGCTCATCATTGATTCTGTTTATTTACTTGTGTAAATGTGTGTAAATGTATATTTATTCATTTTTTAATTAATTACGGTAATATTATTGACTAATATGAAAATATTCATATGAATTATTTACAATGTAGTTTGTAAAATAATATTTTCTGTCTTTTAGTAGAGATATTATATAAAAGACTTGCTTTTTTACCAAATTAAATGGATCTAATTGGATTTGCATTGAAAAATTATATAAAAAATATTATTTTCTATTTAATTTATTAAGGTTTTAGTTATAATAATAATTCCATATAAATCCGCAGATTTTAAACACAATTCTGCGTGGAAATAGCAAAAAATGTCCTCAGATTCCGTCTGGCCCGATTAATAACCGAGTACTAATAATTGATCAGCATTTTATAATGATTTCTGAAAGATCACTTGATTCATCTCTGAATCACAGGAATTAAACAATTTTAAACTATATTTCATAAGAAACTAATGATAACGAATGAGCTCATGCTTCTGTGTTAAAACTTCACCCTTACTGGAGAGAAGATTTCCTCAACACATTTCTAAACATAATAGTTTTAATAACTCGTTTCTAATAACTGATTTATTTTATCTTTGCCATGATGACAGTAAATAATATTTGACTAGATATTTTTCAAGACTGTTAAAGTGACATTTAAAGGCTTAACTAGGTTAATTAGGCAGACTTGGTTTATCAGGCAAGTTGTTGTATAATAATGGTTTGTTCTGTAGACAATCTATTCTAAAAAAAATTCCTTAAGGGGGCTAATAATGTTGACCTTAAAATGATTTTAAAAATTAAAAAACTGCTTTTATTCTAGCCAAAATAAAACAAATAAGAAAAAAATATTATAGGAAATACTGTGAAAAATTCCTTGCTCTGTTAGACATAATTTGGGAAATATTTGAATAAGAACAGAAAATCACCGGAGGGTGAATAATTTTGACTTCCACAGCAGATTTTTTTTTAAGCAGATATTAATTTGTAAGTCGCTTTGGATAAGAGCGTCTGCCAAATTAATGAATGTTAATGTAAAGCAAATAAAATGCTCTCATATATTTTTAATGTCACTAACAGAGACACTCACTTAAGTGTCATTAAGTGCAGCAGTAGTTTTTACTGTACACTAAATCTTCTTGTTTGGCATCTTCAGGAATCATTTGATTTGCATACATTTATTGATTTAAAATATTAAATTAAAAATATGAATTAACTGTAATGTTAAATCTGTTTCCATGATTCCTCAAATAAAGTTAATCCCATTTATTAGTAAATTAGTCATTCAATATGTAATTTATTTAATTAAATATATGAATCATGCTAATGACAATAAATATGTTGTTTCATTTTTGCATAAGCATGTCTTAACGAAGATGGTTAATTATTTGAAATATTTATGTTCATTTATTTTCAATAAAATATTGCAATTAGCATGCATTTCATACTATAAAATATTTTATTGTAAATTAATTTAATGCGGACAACAAAATGAAATATCTTTGATACAATGTCATTATTTTTAAAAATGCAGAGGCTTGCAGGTTTATGGAAAAAAAAAGTAATAATAATTTTGTGTAATTTGAAAAAAACAATTGTAGTTCTAAGCTACATTTGCCATATTTTGAGATTTTACTTTGCTATAAATGAATATTAAACAGCATGAGGTTAGCTGTGTTTTAATATAGATGTATATTAAACAGATTAGCTGTGTTTTAAATGAAAAATCATTGTATGATGGAATCTAGATGCCGTTGTGTATTGTGTTTTGATCTGTTAGTTTGTGTGTGTTTGTTTTGTGTTTCAGTTTTCTCCTAGTGTTCAGCTGTCTGGTGCTTTCTGTTTTCTCCACCATTCCAGACCATCATAAATTTGCCAACGAGGCGCTCTTCATCCTGGTAAGGGGATAAAATGACACATACTAACAGCAATAACACAGCGGGGAAAAACATTGTTCATCATTGTTTTGATTCATTTTCATGCACAATCCCAAACCCCTCATATAAAGGAACAATATATATATATCTGTTTCATTCTTTTAGGACTCTCCCGAAGACATTTACTAATATATAAAAAAATATCCATATCCATATCCTATATATTGCTGAATTACAGAGCTGTGCTACCAATTTTGAATGGGCAATTTTGAGTGCAGAACAAGGGGTTTCTACATATAAATGATGTAAATACAGCTTTTACCAATAGAAAAGAAACACCAGAGACTGGAAATCGCTTTATTAAAAAGAAAACTTGAGAATGCTTTCTGCTGTCAATAAAGTGTAGCATTCTCAGCTTTATTTAACACATTTTACCATACTTAAATACTAAAATGCACAGAAAAAAAACTACTCAGGAGTAAATTTTTTTATTGATACAAATACTTTATGTCTTGATGCAATATATTTTTTAATTGAGCTCATAAGTATTCAAAAACAGTGCAAATTTACCAACGGTGCATATTTATTTCTTAGACAACGTCAAAAACAACATTAAAACAACTTAAATGTTACTGTATGTTTTCAAAACATTTATTTTTTAAATGAGTTTTTTATACTAATGAGGTTTTAATAGGCATACATATACATATCAACAAAAAATATTTTGACATAAAAATACAGTAAACTCACAAGAAACGGAAAAAAAAGGAATTATTTTGAGAGTCTTAAGGTATTTAAAATTGTTTGCAGATGTTATTATTATTATTTATTTTATTTATTAATTATTGTAACTAATTTATTATTATTATTATTATCATTGTTTATTTCATTTTCTTACATTATTATTATTATTAGTATTTATTTTGTAATCATTATAACTTTATTTTTATTTATTTATTTATTTTAATTTTTGTTTATTTTATTATTTTTTGTTTCATTTTCTTACATTATTTTACTTATTTATTTTTTATAAATATAATTAGATTTTTTATCATCATTAATATTTATTTTCTTTTCTTACACTGTTATTATTACTATTTTATTTTTTAAATTATTACAATTTTTATTAGAATGATTACTTATTATTACTATTATTTTATTTTTGACATTTTTCTTTTTCTTATTATTAGTTTATTTTTTAAATTATTATAATTTTATTTTAAGTATTATCATCATTGTTATTATTTACTTATTTTTTATAATAATTACTGTTGTTTATTTTTATTTTTATTTTACATTATTGTTATTATTATTATTATTAATATTTTATTTTTGAATTATTATCATTTTATTATTATTATAATTATCATCATCATCATCATCATTATTATTTACTTTATTTTAAAATTATTATTTTATTATTATTATTATTATTTATGTTTTACATTTTTATTGTTATTATTTATTTTTTAATTATAATTTAATTATTATCATTATCATCATTATTATTAATGTTCTTCTTTATTATTATTGTTGTTGTTGTTGTTGTTGTTGTTATTATTATTATTTCTACTGGTTATCTTGTTAGTTAATTAATAACTAAGGCACACCCTTTTCCCCAAAATCCTTTCAATCTGACACAGCATACTGTACATTGTTTCATACATATTAAATTGCATTGAAATGAATCTACTCACTCTCTCTGACCTGTAGAGCACATGGGTCAACTTCCGTTTCTGGGTTTTGTATCCAAGTTTAAAGGAAATTCAGAGTTGGCGAGCACAGACTGTCTGATCTCTCTAAGTACCTTCACTAAACATCCACCCTGTCCGTCCCGTCTCTAAATACATTGATAATAGCACATCATCTGAATAATTAATCACACAGGGTATTCTCTCCGGCTGTTAGACCGTCCAATCACAGCCTGTACATCTTTTTTTGAGGTGAGTTTGGAGGCGTGCCTGCAAAAAAAAGGTGGATTAGGTACATTTTTTCAATTCGCCAGCACTATGGATCAAATGTGCCATGTTTGCAAGTCTGTTTTGCTGTCTATTGTGTTACTAAGAGGTTTATCTTATTAGTCAGCTGGCATTGTTCTGAAATCCTTTGCAAGCACAAACACATATGCTGTAGGAGGTTTTATAAGGACTGTAACTACAGATTGTTATTGTGTTGGCTTGAGGAAGCTAACATATTGAAGTGCTATGTAAAGTACTTATTCTGAGACTAAGGGTGTACTTACGCTATGTACAGTTGCTTTGAACAGTGCTGAAGCACGCTTCTCCCCTCTCCCCCCTCCCCTGCAGCCCGCACTCACATTGCATCCGAGCTGTGACGTTCAAAAATAAGAGTCTAAGAGGATCCAGATGCAAGTGATGAAGTTTATTTGACAATGTCAAAATAAACAAACAATGATAGTGACAGGCTAGGAGGACGATGAACACAGGGCAGGAACAGACAGGAAAACAGGGTCCAGGTAAATCTCCTCAGGGGCCTGAGCACAGACAACACACATATGAACAGGTGTAACGAACTGACAAAGAGACATAGAAACGTCGCCCTGACATAGGCCTAATAATGAGCCTCAGCTGGCGTGTAATCAGCCCAGCTGAGTGTCGTCATATCACGTGAGCACAACCAAAACAAAACAAACCCACGTGATCAAACATACACTCCGGAAAAGTGCACGAACCTGCAACCGTGACACGAGCCTGAGCACGCTTACGTCATCAATGGTGCACTGTTCAGTTTAACAGAAGAGAAGCAGCACAGTGGAGATTTCTTTAGTTATATTGTTTTAGTCAAAATTTCCTTGAACAGATCAGCCACTTTTGACACTCATAAATATTCATAAAGTCCTCGTGCTGCAGGATTTTGGAGGTTTGTTGAAGTCGCAGCTGTGGTGCAGTGAGGGGTTTGCGTCTTTATGAAAACAACGACAGTTTGCGTTCACTGAACAGTAAGAATGATTAATAAATCTATACAAAGCAGTCCCTTAACAGTCACGTCTTGTTTTCAGTTTCGGGCTCAGGCGCGCTTTGCTTTCGCACTACAAGCGTACCTCGCCAAAGTCCTAGTGAACTGCTCTCTGGCACACCTCTTCCAACTGGGCCAGGGCCGGCCAACTGAACCGCACCTGAGCCCGATTCAGAGCACTCACACTATTCTAACAATCTTGGAAATGCATCTGGGAAAGCATAGTGTGAGTTCGCCTTAACATTTTTACCTTAACCAACAAACCCATCTCAGAATTTCAGACTTGTGAATTACAGTTTACAAAACGGTACTGAAATTTCAAAGACTTTTATTGATCTGTTCAAATATTCCAACTCTTCAAACTTCAGCTGCCAATAGTTTAAATGAAACAACCAGAAGCGTTTTAGACTCAGTAAAGTTATAATTATCATAGTTATGAAATAGAGACACATTATTTTTGTGTGGAGTTTGCATGTTCTCCCCATGTTGGCGTGGGTTGGCGGTAGGGATGGGAGGGACTAAGCCTTTATTTAAATAAAGAAACCAGTGTGAGATGATTTGCGCTTTATGACATGGCACGTTATCCTGATGGAAGTAGAAGATGAAGATGAGTACACTGTGGTCATAAAGGGATGGACATGGTCAGCAACAATACTCAGCTAGGCTGTGGTGTTGACTTAATGCTCAATTGATACTAATGGGCCCAAAGTGTGCCAAGAAAATATCCCCCACACCATTACACCAACACCACCAGCCTGAACCGTTGATACAAGGCTGGATAGATCCATGCTTTCACGTTGCTGACAGCGAATTCTAACCCGACCATCTGAATGTTGCAGCAGAAATCGAGACTCGTCAGACCAGGCAACGATTCTCCAATCTTCTATTGTCTAATTTAGTGAGCCTGTGTGAATTGTAGCCTCAGTTTCCTGTTCTTAGCTGACAGAAGTGTCCTAGTGTGGTCTTCTGCTGCTGTAGCCCATCCGCCTCAAGGTTGGACGTGTTGTGTGTTTAGAGATGCTCTTCTGCAGTCCTCAGTTGTAACAAGTGGTAATTTGCGTTACCGTTGCCTTTCTATCAGCTGGAACCAGTCTGGCCATTCTCCTCTGACCTCTGGCATCAACAAGGCATTCGTGCCCACAGAACTGATAATTACTGAATATTTTCTCTTTTTCAGAGCATTCTCTGTAAAGCCTAGAAATGCCAAATCCCAGTAGATCAGCAGTTTCTGAAATACTTAGACCAGCCCTTCTGGCACCAACAACCATGCCATGTTTAAAGTCACTTAAATCACCTTTCCTCCCCATTCTGATGCCAGGTTTGAACTGCACTAAATCGTCTTGATCATGTCTACATGCCTAAATGCATTGAGATGCTGCCATGTGATTGGCTGATTAAAAATTTGCATTAAAGAGCAGTTGGACAGGTGTACCCAATCAAGTGGCCGGTGAGTGCATTTCTGCATGTTATCCATCTTGAAGGATTGCAAACTTTATCATCGGTATAATAAGCTGTTGCCAGTGTTGTGCGTATATAATAATTCAAAACACACGTGAGGAGCGTTTGCTCATTGTATAACTGCAATCAAGCACATTCTGAAAATTACAGGCCCTATTTTCATTAGTTTTAGCAATGTCTCAGGCTCGTGCTCATTCCTCATCTGATTGGCACGCTGTAAGCATTCTTGTACTGTCTCATGTCTCCCTGTGGCTGCGTTAAGTGTGCATTTTGTGTTCCGCTGGGATCTTTGCTCTGGGAAATGGCAGTGTAAGCACACGGCAGGATTCAGGTGTTGTCGAGTATGCAAGAAGTAGCCGACTCCATCCAATAATCTCAGCTGCGATTCTATAATCACTCATTCAGTATGAAGTGCTTTTCTCTCTCGCGCAGACTTTCTCTCCCACTTTTTCTCCCATTTAATGGTCTCCTTCAGGAAAGGACTATGTTGTCTATCATGCACGTTGTGGTATTGACTGCACACTCAGTCTGTAATGTGTTTGTTCACATCAAGAGCGTGGGTGCCATTGCAGGAGCTGGGATCAATACAGGCATTTAGCCTCTCTGAAGCCAAGCCGTCTGTGGCATCTTCTGCAGGAGGAGAAGCAGTCATGTGATTTAGCATAAATCGAGTGGATATATCACAGGATAGGTGAAGCAAGGATACTGAAAACTTCAAACCAGTGACTTTTTATGTAAACAATAGCTCCGTTCACACAGTGATACCACTAAATATCCAGAAAATTATTGCAATGATTTTACCGGTAAATTCAAGAAAGCACTGTTTACACAGGCAAGGACGTTACAGAATTTTTCCGGAATAGACCATTCACACATCCACTCTAAAATACCGGTAATTTCTGACATAATTGACCAGAGATGAGCTCTAACTGACCACACTTGTATTTGTAAACACAGGAGGGCTTTTGTTGATGGTTGATGGTACATAATATGTGTGTGTGCTGGTGCTCATCAGCTGCTTCACGTGCACACGCATCAAGCAACTGAAGCAGAGCTTGAAGGTTAACATACAGTGGTTAATCATAAGCATTTTATAGGTAATTTTTTATCAGTTGGCATTAAGAAGAAACATAGAAATGTTATTGGACTTACATCTAGCAGCTAAATATGTCTGGGAAAATTATTTAAAGACTTTTATTTTCATAAACAACGCGAATGTGAATACGTCTGAGTGTTCTGATTGGCTGGAGTAGACGTCGCATTTCAGCGCGTTCTAGATGTGAATGCGCTATTTCCGGCAATCTTCCTTCTGTGTTCACACAGCACAGCATTCCGGCAAATTACCAGTAATGTTACAACTTCTCTTTCCTGAAAATTGCCAGAACAAATTTACCGGTATTTTCAAAAAGGGCCTGTTCACACTTACAGACTTTTCCGGAAAATTGCCGGTAATATTTTGGAAAGGTCTGTATGTGTGAAAGGGGCTAATGAGTGATTTTTCCACTAAAAATTAATTGTCTAACCTTAGTAAAAAAGGTCATGCAAATTGCTAAATTTATTCAGGAAACTGTATAGTTCCTAGAAGTTTTGCCATCACAGCTAACAACTTCCTAGCAATAACTCAGATCACCTAGCAACCCCCAGCCACCACCCAGAACGGATTAACAAAATTAAGTTGACCCTGAAAAATCTGTTCAATTTAAAGAGCCCCTATTATGCATTAAAAAGGGTCATATTTTGGTTTTGGGGGTCTCTAACAACAGGCTGATGTGCATGCAAGGTCAAAAAACACTTTGATTGTCTTATATGCATTTATTTTTTGCCTAATTATTCCAGCGACTCCCATATTACTCTTTTAGGGATTCATTTGTTAACAAACCCTTCTTTAGTGCAAGAATAAATTTAGTCCTGAGAATAAATGACATGAAAATAATCTTCAATTTGTTTACAGCAAACTACAGTTGAATTGACCAGTCTAGTACTTTAGCCGATAGTGTTAGGTAGTGTATTTTTTATAAATTACTGGCAGAACATCACTGTCATCATGTTGAATTGTTTATTGTTCTCTTTACTTCTGTATTCAATCTACTGTTCATTCTTAATACTGATTATTCTGATGATTCTTCACTGCAGGAGTTTGTGATGATCGTGGTTTTTGGGCTGGAATATTTTGTGAGGATCTGGGCTGCCGGATGCTGCTGTCGGTACAGAGGATGGCAGGGTCGACTACGCTTTGCCAGAAAGCCTTTCTGTGTCATAGGTAAAGTTCTGGGGTCTGAAATCAATTCATCATACACATTCAATCTAAAGGAGGCGAGAAGAGTTAAAATCTGTCTCTCAAAAGACCATTCTGTGTTTATGTTAGCTTAGCAAGCACCTATCAACACCGCAGCAACCACCCTGAACACTGTAACAGCCACAAAGCATCTGTCTACTTGTCTGTCCATCCATCCATCCATCCATCCATCCATCCATCCATCCATCCAGTCATCTATCTATCTATCTATCTATCTATCTATCTATCTATCTATCTATCTATCTATCTATCTATCTATCTATCTATCTATCTATCTATCTATCTATCTATCAGTCTGTCTGTCTGTCTGTCTGTCTGCCTGTCTGTCTGTCTATCTATCTTCCTGTCCGTCCGTCTATCTATCTATCTATCTATCTATCTATCTATCTATCTATCTATCTATCTATCTATCTATCTATCTATCTATCTATCTATCTATCTATCTGTCTGTCTGTCTGTCTGTCTGTCTGTCTGTCTGTCTGTCTGTCTGTCTGTCTGTCTGTCTGTCTATCTATCTATCCATCTATCTATCTATCTATCTATCTATCTATCTATCTATCTCCTCCATCCATCCATCCATCCATCCATCCATCCATCCATCCATCCATCCATCCATCCATCCATCCATCCATCCATCCATCCATCTATCTATCTATCTATCTATCTATCTATCTATCTATCTATCTATCTATCTATCTATCTATCTATCTATCTATCTCCTCCATCCATCCATCCATCCATCCATCCATCCATCCATCCATCCATCCATCCATCCATCTATCTATCTATCTATCTATCTATCTATCTATCTATCTATCTATCTATCTATCTATCTATCTATCTATCTATCTATCTATCTATCTATCTATCTATCTATCTATCTATCCATCCATCCATCCATCCATCCTATCTATCTATCTATCTATCTATCTATCTATCTATCTATCTATCTATCTATCTATCTATCTATCTATCTATCTATCTATCCAACCATCCATCCATCCATCCATCCATCTATCTGTCTGTCCGTCCGTCCGTCCGTCCGTCCGTCCGTCCGTCCGTCCATCCGTCCATCCATCCATCTATCATCTATCTGTGTGTCTGTCTGTCTGTTTGTCTGTCTTGTCTGTCTGTCTATCTATCTATCTATCTATCTATCTATCTATCTATCTATCTATCTATCTATCTATCTATCTATCTATCTATCTATCTATCTATCTATCTCCTCCATCCATCCATCCATCCATCCATCCATCCATCCATCCATCCATCCATCCATCCATCCATCCATCCATCCATCCATCCATCTATCTATCTATCTATCTATCTATCTATCTATCTATCTATCTATCTATCTATCTATCTATCTATCTATCTATCTCCTCCATCCATCCATCCATCCATCCATCCATCCATCCATCCATCCATCCATCCATCCATCTATCTATCTATCTATCTATCTATCTATCTATCTATCTATCTATCTATCTATCTATCTATCTATCTATCTATCTATCTATCTATCTATCTATCTATCTATCTATCTATCCATCCATCCATCCATCCATCCAACTGTAAGCATTAAATAATAAAAGGATTAGTTAAAATAGAAATTTTGGGAGAAATTTGATAAAATTTAGGAGACGAACTGTAATTAGTCAACTATTCTCGAGTCATTTCTGACTACCGCACATATCTAATGTTTGATTAGTAAGCAAAGTTTTTATTACAGCCCGTTTATTGTTTTAAATAAGATATTTATCGTATTTTTTCATCCTTGTCTGCAGTCCATCGTGTTGTGTGGTTTTCAAAACTGCTGACATCCAATAAATTGTCCTCCCTCATTTCCTGAGCATTATCAGATTATGATGAAATAGCACCGGATCCTGTTGTAAGTTGACTACAGTGTCGTATTTCCCTCTTCAGGTGCAGTCCATCGAAAACAAGCTGGACCTGCTACTAAACTTCTACTCGCAGTGCCTGAAAAAGGGCTCGTCCCACTTCACCCTGTCATCCCTCCTGGAGCCCGATTCCACCTCTGACTACCACAGTCCCACCGACAAACATGACCTGTTCCCCTCCGCAAACACTCTTAATATCTCCCACTCAGACAGCGGTAACATGGAGTGACCCTCCTCACTTCTGACCTCTGCATCAGGGCAACTCATCCAAAGGCTAAATACCTCCCGCCGCAAAACCTAGCACAGCTCCTGCACACTGCTGCTGTATACTTGCATGGGTTCATCCTTTGCACAGTGGACGATGGCCCACTTTTATAGATTATATATATATATATATATATATATATATATATACATACATATGCCCTGATATTTTGCAATGATTTTGTTTCATTTAGAGAAATATTCTGAAGACTTTACTGAAGTTCTCCAGCAGAGGGCAGAGTTTTTGTCTTTTTATCAGTCTTCCTATATTATGAGGGCAGTTATTTTGATTGCACTTCTTTCCTAAAAGTCTCTGTGCCAATTTTTTATTTTCTTGAGTTTTATTTAGGTTTTTGATAATCGATAGGCCCCCCCAGAGCGATTCTATTTTTCTCTCCGTCTTTTTTTCTAAGAAATCAGAGCATTGTGATCTTCAATTTGCTTTTTTTGGACTCTGCCTTACGCTTTGGCCTGATGCAACAGACTCCTTGTGCCACGAGAAGTCGTTGAGCTTCTATTGAATGTACTGCATCCAGTACTCTTTATTTATCATTGAGAAAACAGCATCAAAGATTGCTGTAAAGAGCAGCATGATGGACCGACGGACAGTATTTCCACCAAAGCATCGACTCCTGTCACTTTTATCCCGCATGGTTCCTTTCAGGAGGGAAAGAAGATGTTTTCTTCCCAGATTGTGGTGTCTTTCATTGGGCCGCACTCTTCTGCACCCTGCATCATCTCTCAGAAGCCCACCGTGCAAAAAGAAAGTGAACTAAATAAATGCAGAATATTCTTCTATGAAATAGCCAGCATTAAAGAGCATGTTAGTAGTTTGAGTAGTTCAGGCAAGTTTGTTTTGTTTAGTAGAGGCTAGTTCTAGAGGCCTTGCAGCCCTCATGTCTTCATTGAGCATGTGCATCAGTCCATCTGCAAACAAACCACAGGATCGCAGAGCTCCTGATCTTCTCCCCCAACGTGATGCTCCAATGGTTGAGATTCAAAGGGATAATTCACTCAAAAACCTAAAGTTATGCCATTCCAGACCCGTATGATTTCAAGGGAGATTTCAAATAGATTGCATTTGCTTTGAAACCATATATTCCTTCATTCATTCGATTTCCTTCGGCTTAGTCCCTGTTTATCAGGGGTCGCCACAACGGAATGAACCACCAACTATTCTGGCATTTGTTTTACGTAGCGAATGTTCTTCCAGCAGCAACCCAGTGCTGGGAAAGACCCATATACTCTCTCATTCACACACACTCATTCACTACGTCTAATTTAATTCATCCAGTTCCCCAATAGCACATGTCTTTAGACTTTGGGAGAAACCGGAGCACCCGGAGGAAACCCACACCAACACAGGGAGAACATGCAAAATTTACACAGAAATACCAACTGGCAAAGCAAGAGACTCGAACCAGTGACCTTCTTGCAGTGACAGTCCTAACCACTGAGCCACCGTGCCACCTGGAAACTTTATATGTGTATATCTGTGGAAAAAATATTAGGGCTTTTTGAATTTCAGATGAAAATATTGTCAATTTGAGCATTATTTGTCTAAAATTACAATCTTCTATTACTAATACAGTTCAAAAGAGGTTATTTCACCAAACTTAAATTCCTGAACTCTAAAAGAATTGGTGATGTGTTGTTTAAAAAACAAATACAAACATATCTAATGACAAACAGCTTTCTTTTATTGGAAGAACTGTAGACAGAAATTATAATAAATATATACACATACAAGATGTACAGGTTAAAGATAATTACAAAGTTAAAAATTAACACTACCTTGACAAAAGTCTTGGCGTCAATCCCAGTTGTAAGAGCAACAAATAATGACAGATTTTTCTGATGAATGATCTGTTGAACTGCATCCCAATCATCACAAATACTGCAGAAGAACTATTGGAACCCGCATAGACCCAAGATTCTCATAGATATCAGTCAAGTTTGGTGAAGGAAAAATCATGGTTTGGGGTTATATTCAGTATGGGGGCATGCAAAAGATCTGCAGAATGGATGACAACATCAACAGCCTGAGGTATCAAGATATGTGTGCTGCCCATTACATTACAAACCACAGGAGCGGGCAAATTCTCCAGCAGGATAGCGCTCCTTCTCATACTTCAGCCTCCACATCAGAGTTCCTGGAAGCAAAGAAGGTCAAGATGCTCAAGGATTGGCCAGCCCAGTCACCAGATATGAACATTATTGACCATGTCTGGGGTAAAATAAAGTCATTGCAGAGATGTAGGGATGAAGTGTTCCTAGCTCATAGGAGTCAGACACAATATTCATTCTGTTTCCACTGCAGCATGACTTTATATTCTATACTGGACATTATTTCTGTTAAGTGACAAGACTTTTGTCTAAGCAAAGTCAGACCTTACTGTCCTAATTAAATCATTAATAATCAAGACATGATCATATTTTATTTTGGTCAAATAAGTGTAATCTAGAGGCCTTTGCCTTTCATACAGTATAAGCCACTTCTGATACTAAATGATCAACTAGAAGTCAAGTTATTATTTGTTGTTCGTAAAACTTGGATAGGTGACAAGACTTTTGCCAGGCAGTGTATATTTAAAAATTACTGTGCATTTTAAATCTAGAGAAGTTTTGGAGTTGTCTTTAGTTTGCTTTACTCTCTGCAACTTTATGATTGGTGGAAATTTGGCACAGCATTATGGGTAATGTTGTTTTCAGTGCAAAGTCCAACATAAAACATGAAAATTGTAAAAAGAGGTTGATTTATTTAGCAACCTCTAAGAGTCCCAATAGATCAGTCTTCAAAGGTTTGTCAGATGTTTTCCGTTGGTTTATCTGATGTTTCTATTTCCTAGCGGAGAAAACAAATAGTTTTTACAATGTAGTATATCTGACAGAATACTAGTAAACACCAAACAGAGAAAAGAGGACGTTCGTAATGAAGTTATTCTGATTAACTCAGGCAAGTGCACATGACTTTAAAATATTTAAAGTATTTGTATATGTTGAATGCTTGATTCTGATTGGCCAGTGAACATAAGGTGTGCCATTGTTCATTCATTTATTTTCTTGTCGGCTTTGTCCCTTTATTAATAAGTGGTCGCCACAATGGAATGAACCGCCAACTTATCCAGCCCATTTTCATGCAGTGGATGCCCTTTCAGCTGCAACAAATCTCTGGGAAAGGTGTGCCATTATTTATCAGATAAATAGAGCTAAAGTTCCAGGCAGGTATTGACTGCATTACAGCTCCATATCACTACACTGAATGATTTCAGTTATATCACAGTTAAAATCACACAAGACTTTGGTTGAGTTGTATAGTCCAACACACAGGACAAAAACCTGACAAATGTCTGAAATACAACATTTGAACAATGTGTTTAGGTGTTGTAGTGATAGTAAGAGTAGAATAATTGACTTCAGCCTTTCTTCCATTGTGCATTATTTTTTTAATAATTCAATAGCCCGTCTTTAATTACTCCTTACATACTGCTTGAATTTTATGGTGGCCTTAAATCCATGCACATTTGAAATAACATGTCATGTTTGAGTGAACTATCTCTTTAAAACTATGACCTTACACTAGGTTATAACCTCACAATGATTGCCTTTCATCATTTCTTAGAGATCAATAGGTCAAAGATCCAACCGGCACAACGTAATCACTTATATTATCTTATTTTTATTAACAAATAAACTGTCTCACAGGTGACCTTAACCTCAGCCGTGTACAGACTCGCCACGTTTTTTTGAGAGAAGATTGATGCATGACCTCCACATTAGTATCTATGCATGCAGACTGGTTCCAGCTTTATATGACATGCAGTTCAGGTAACGGGACAGCATGGAGGGGATTGTGGGAATACAGCGCTCCTCTGCCTTACTGACATACAATACTATAGCTAGAGCACACTGACCATGAGTTTACTGTACAACGGTGGACTTGTTTAGGCCACTCCACATGGCATTAATGGACAGAACTGGACTGAAGCCACCTTTTCTACATTGACTTTTCCCTCGCATCTGATTCCAGCACACGCTTTCTTTCTCCTTTCTGGCATTTGTTTCTACTGGACTACATTTGAAAACAAACACAAAGACGTCACTGTCCCTTTAAACCGAACAAGCTTTATTTTTCTCATTGATTTGATTGGTAACTGCTAATGTGAGAGGTAACTTGATCTATAATATGTATGTTTAACACTGATATGATTGTAAGAAAATGAATAAATTCAGATTTTTGTTTATGAAAAACGGGTGTGATGTCTTGATATAGGATGTGTACTTTGTGTAACATCTTTTTTTAGGTTTTTCTTTCTTTCTCTTTTTTGTAATTGAACTTTTTGATTTTATTTTTAACTTTTATACACCACACGACATGAAAATCACAATACAAAATCAACATTCAGGAAAATAATGTAAACAAATTATAATAAAAATACGCTTAAAAATAATAAAAATGTAGCAAAACAAAAATTATAACAAATATAAAATAATACAATGCAATATAACAGACAGTCAAAGTGACAACCCTTCAATTTTCCTTTTATGTGCTCTCCAAATATTGCAAAAGCTACCCCGTTTCTGATTAAGAGTGTTGGTGGAGTCCTGAAGTCTTGTCAACATACGTTCATATGATGCAGTAGAAGTCATCAGTTCAATCCAACCCTAAAAGAGGAAGTATCTGAGTTCTTCAAATTTCGCAGCACCAGTCTTACAGCAATGATACATCCTGCGATGACTAGCCCAGCCTGCTTTATTAGGTTTTTCAAGGTTAATCAAACCCCATTACTCAAAACTTAACCCAGAGAGGTTTAAAGGAAAAAAATTACAATATTATTAATAATAATCATCATCATTAAAAATTTAAAAAATTTGATAGATTTGAACCCTAAATAAAATCCTAATAAAACTATTGTCTGTATAAATGTAAGTGTACATTTACACAAGTAGGTTTGGGGTTAGAAAATGTATTTATTTATTTATTTGTGCGTGATTTTTGCTTAGCAAGGCATTTGTACTTTATCACAAATAGAGTAAAACAGTCCTTTTGACATTACTAATATATGTTGTATTAATTGATGTTTGTTATATTGTTATTCTGGCACATTTTATTATATAATTTTTCCCTTTGATTCAAAGCCAAATCAACATTTAATTATACAAAATGATTAATTCATTCATTTTCTTCAGCTTAGTCCCTTTATTTTTATTCATCACCGCAATGATGAACAGGCAACTTACTCAGCATATGTTGTACACCGCAGGGAGAACATGCTAACTTCACACAGAAATCCCAACTGACCCAGCCGAGGCTCAAACCAGCGACCTTCTTGCTGTGATGCGACAGTGCTAACCACTGAGCCACTGTGTCGCCTCAAAAAATTATCATAAAGTTTGAAAGAACAATATTTATTTTAATTACTTAAAATAGACGTAGCCTATAGAATAGTCGACTGTTAAAGACAATTATTATTTGTCTTGTGAAAAATTTATTCATTCTTAAATATTTCCCAAGTGATGTTTAACAGAGCAAGAAATAAATCACAATATAACCTATTATATTTTTCGTCAGGGGAGAGTCTTGTTGCTTTTTTTTTAATTGGGAAAAAAGGTCAACATCATTAAGATTATACCCAGCAAACAATTGTGTGTTTAATCGACATCTAAATGTAGACAGTTTGGCTAACAAGGCTAAACTTGGGCTGTCAGTGAAAATCTAATAGACATCTAAGAATAACCCAAAACTAGACTAGTCATCAAATAGACGGATTAGACAGACTTTATTTGTGTAGTCATTCATTTCTGTTTAATTGATGACTAGTCTAATTTTGGCCTATTTTTAATGCCTATTAGATTTTCACTGACCTTGTTTTAGCCAAGATGACTATGTTTAGACATAGATATCGTTTAAAAATAAAAGATGATTGCTGCAGGCACATTTGTAACTTAGTTAACCTAATTAACATAGTTAAGCCTTTAAATTGTATACATTAATAAAAGAAACTAAATCTTGCAAAACAACTCGTAAAATATTATACTGTAATCATGGCAAAGACAAACAACATTAGTTATTAAAGCTATTATGCTTTTAAAAAGTTTAAAGTCTTATTTCTATAAATAACACTTGAATAAGAATTCACAGGAGGGCTAATAATGTTGTCTTTAACTGTATCTGCATCAATAAAATAAACTACAGTGGTCCGTATTAAAACCCTTTAAACAGTGGTTTAGAAAGCAAGTACAGACTTAACCCGAGAACTTGACTAGAATTCCATTTAAACGTCCATTTGAGCTCCAGAAAAGTTTCGAGATGAAGTCTCACTTTTTACTAAACATATTTCCATAAGCTTAACGGGAGCCGCTCCACAAGATGGCGGTACATTTCAAGCTCACACGAAAGCGCCTACATTCGGCTGTGACGTAATTCTCTCCGCTTGAGTATGGTAGACGGGCCCTCATCTAGGGGACTCTGTAAATAAACGTATTTCTGTGATTTATTCATTTATAACAGTGGCGCGTGTGTGTGTGAATCCAGAGTTTAAAGCCCGCTGGGTGTTTCAGAGATCCTCTGATGGGCCTGCCGCTGGGATCGGCTGGTCTGGGGTCAGTACTGCGTGTTCCTGCTGATGTGGACTGTGTTTGGCTGGAGCTTTAACACACTTTATCTGTTTACGAAACTACTGAGCTCATGGCTATGACGAGTCTGTATTATTGATGACAGAAGAGTGAAGTCAGGCCGTTTTACTCGACGAACGCTGAATTTGTGTTTGCTATACGGTAGGTGATTTTTTTAGTGAATATTGTTGTTTATGAAGACACAAAGATGTAAATATTGTTTTCAGTGTTAACTTTTAATGGTTTCGATGGTTCTGTGTAAATTAAATTACATGTTAGTTGCTTTCGCTTAGTTTTTGATGGTCGTATCTTTTAGCGAGCCCACTTTTGTAGTTTAACAGCTGTAACGTTAATTTAACTTGGCGAACTAACCTAGTCGTAAGTCGTTTTGCTTAATAAAAGTAGTTACTTTTGTCAGACTGTTATTAAAAAGCGATGTTATTTTTGTATTATCTTACTTTCTTTAACACATCGCTTGTCTGTTTAGTCATCACGTAACGTAAATAGCTCAGATAATGAGATTATGGCAATCTAAAACTAAAGTTACCCTCCGACTGACTGTTTATCAGTTTTACTGAATCAGCTGGGTTTCCCAGCATCAATATTTTTGGGCAACTTTTTCTCTGTACATTTAAAATTTGTTCATGTTTATCTTAGAAAAACATAATGTCCATTTTATATATAAGTTAGGCATGACCCGGTATAAGATGCTGACTCTATGATAACCTTGGATTAAATATCACGGTTTTAAAGTAACGTTATTGAGATTGCTGCCCTAAATTATATTCTTTTTAAATGTCTGGGTAAAAACAAACAACCTTTATCACATTTGAACGCAAAGTATTTTATTTAAAAAAAAAAGATATTAAACAGTAAATTAACAGTAAACATGTCAGGCTAAATAATTAAAATAAACCATTGACCTCTGTTTTCATTTTCAAAAACACGGATTTTATTACAATTTAAAGCGTCATATTGGATATATAATTCTGTTGGAGATACTACTATTCGAAAAAAACAAAACAAAAAATCATCAATTTCAAAAGACAACGGTTAAATGTCATTCAGTTAACAATAGTTTATATGCGATCCTGGACATTAAGGTAAAGTTGGTTTTATATTTGCACATTTAGACTTTCTCTTTAAAAATATAATTTCAGAAATATATATCATATATATATAACTTTTGCTTAAATTAATTCATTTTATGCCGACATCCAAACTATTTGTTGTTGTTCCTTACATGACATTCTTCCTTATGTTTTTTTAATCAGTTTTTTCTATTACAGATACTTTGGATGTTTTGCTGCTTTAAGGAAAAGTAACTCTGAGCGATGATGAACCGCCAGTGAACGTCAGTCGTGTTGTTTTCTAAGCGCATGTGCATCAGAGTGATGGAGAGTGACTGCAGGATCCCCATGTCATGTCTGAGACCCCGAATCCTGGCCCTACACGCTTTATTCTGGGGCTTAGTGTCTCTTAGGTGAGAAAAATAATATACTCAAAAGTGATTATCTCATAATAATACACAAGACTCACTCATAGTCATTTACTCAAAGAAGTTCCCCCAAAAATGTCAATATTGCAACAGAAATAAAAGTGTTAAACATGCAGTTGAAGTCAGAATTATTCACCCTACTGTGTATTTGTTTTTTCAAATATTTCTCAAATGATGTTTAACGGAGCAAGGGATTTTTCCACAGTATTTTCTATATTATTTCCTCTGGAGAAAGTCTTATTTGTTTTATTTTGGCTAGAATAAAAGTAGTTTTTAAATTTAAAAACCATTTTGAGGTCAATATTATCAGACCTCTTAAGCAATATTTTTCTGATAGTCTACAGAACAAACCATCATTGTAAAATGATTTGCCTAATTACCATAACCTGCCTAATTAACCTAGTTAAGCCTTTAAATGTCACTTTAAGCTGAATACTAGTATTTTGAAAAATATCTAGTCAAATATTATGTGCTGTCATCATGGCGAAGATGAAAGAAATCAGTTATTAGCAGTGAGTTATTAAAACTATTATGTTTAGAAATGTATTTAAAAAATCTTGTTAATATTAAACAGAAATTTTAGAAAAATTATACTGTATGGCTTATAATGCTTTTTAAATACCCTATTTTTATTGTTATCAGACAAAGACTTTTATCTGGAGAGACTTTAAAGTGAATGTTTTTAAATGTGAATCCTTCATAAATAGTAGAATTTTTATCGTCTGTATTATTTATTGCTTTTAATGTCTTGTTATTTTGTTTCTTATCATAGAAAAGTGATATTTATAAATCAGATTTTGCCATGAAATAGCTAGATCAGAGATGCTCATCTCATCTGAGAAGAGAATGATGGGAAGGTTAGGGCCAATGCCTTCCACAAAGATCGTCATTTTTAATTTTACCATAAACTTTTGTTTGTTTGTTTAATTGTTGAGATACAAAAAAGCTGATGAAATTAAATGTTTAAATTAAATGTTGTGCATGAATTAGTCACTTTGGTCAGATCAGTCACCATTTCTCAGATCAGAATTGAATATCTCAAAACTATCTTTAAAAAGTTGCAAATGCTTTTGTACATCCAAGCAAATTATTATGTGCAATTCTCTGCTCTTTCCTACATTATCAGTTATTTATGTCATGTTGATCAAAATGTTTTTTGTTTTTTTGTTTTTTATCTCTGTTGAATAGTCTCAATCCCCACAACATTTAATCCTTTGCTAACAAGTTGTCATAATGCATTTTTTTATACATTTCCAGTAGACTTTTATTTTTCTTAATGGGTATACAATTGGTAAATTCCTCCCAGGTGAATCTTGACTTTTTCTAATGAAAATGCAATTCAAAGGAGATTCCTATGTTCACATTTCTATTTTTGTTTAGTTTTTTCTTTGTGCTATGCAGTGCTGTCTTTTCCTTTTTGTATCACAATGGCACAATCTGTCAACAAATCAAAGTACAACGCCATAAAATTAGCCATAGTTTACATCAGACAGCCCTCCACAGTTGACACAGAGACTTTTTATTCTAATGACTACTTCATTGATACAGAAATTTAGTTTTGAGAGTTGAACTAAGGATTTTGAGCAAGAGACTGGCTTTTGCAGGTAATCCATGGTATTTTGCTATTTGTATGTGTTGTTTTGAGAAATGCACTTACTGTTTTGCAAAATTTCAATTCTGATCTGAGAAATGTACCAAAGTGACTGAGGAAAAACTGTAAAATTAAAATGTAAGAATCCTCAACGAGCAAATCAAGTGTATTCAACATATTCAGCATTGAACACCATTGTGTTATAAATGGGATTGTTTATTGTAATTATAATTTTAACTTCAGCCCACCACCCTCAATCAAGTTTAGTTTTTGGCCCTTCATAAGAAAATGTTTGGGCACCCCTGAGCTAGATTTTAGTTATATAGCTAGATATTAGACATAGCCAGAAACAGTGTGATCTGATTTTGCCATGAAATAGCTAGATATTTCAATATGATATGGCAATGAATTCGAAATTCTCTCTCTCATAATAAAAAACAAAAGCTTTGATTGTGAATATAATTCTCTGTCCATATTTTTTATTATAGAGTATTTGGAGCAGCTCTTCTGAGCGATGAGAAGACAGCAGGTATGTAAAAAAAAATAAATAAATCACAGACTCTAGACCAGGCATGTCCAAACTCTGTCATGGAGGGCCGGTGTCCTGCAAATTTTAGTTCCAACCCCAATTAGACACACCTGGGCTAGCTAATCAAGCTCTTACTAGGCTTTCTAGAAACATCCTTGCAGGTGTGTTGAGGCAAGCTGGAGCTCAAATCTGCTGGACGTTGGCCCTCCAGGACCGAGTTTGAGAACCCCTTCTCTAGACTTATGGTGTGGATCAAGTTCTTGTGATGATAATCCTTGTGTTTGTCTTGCAGTTGCCGTGACAAAGGCGATGACAGCACCATGTTGGCAGCTGGAGGAGTTTGTGGTGGCTAAAGAGTGCAGTGTATGCGAGGGTTTGCAATTGGTGAGAAATGTATTTAATCTAATGTCAACTTGATCATTGCTGCATGCCAATCCACATACAATGCATGCTTTTTGTGAAGAAAAAGTACATTGCTTTCAGTGTGTAACAGAAGTGTGCGCAAGCTTTAGAGTCATATTTATTTCTCATTAATGGAACATCCTTTTGCTTAGTTACATGACCTGTCAATCATCTTGTCATATCATTACGATTCATCATTATTTTCCTTCGGCTTGGTCCCTTATTAATCAAGAGTCACCACAGTGGAATGAACTGTCAACCATTCCGGCAAATGTTTTATGCAGCGGATGCTCTTCCAGCGGCAACCCAGTACTTGGAAACATGCATGCACACACACAAAATGGCAAATTTAGTTTATTCAATTCACCTATATTCACCTTTATTCAATTCACCTGTGTCTGGACTGGTGGAAACCGGAGCACCCGGAGGAAATCCACACCAACATGGGGTGAACATGCAAACTCCACACAGAAATGCCAATTGGCCCAGCTGGGACTTCAACCATCGACCTTCTTGCTGTGAGCGGACAGTGCTAACCACTAAGACACCATGCCGCTATACTCATTTTCAACATGCTATAATTTGGGAGACACACTTTCTATTTCTGATTATAGGATTGGTAGTTTGAAATTGACATGCAGTACATGTCTACACAAATGTTTTGAGATGCTGCCAGGTGATTGGCTCATAAAATGACACTAACCACCTTCTAGTTTAAAATGTTTTAATGTAATTTATCTGTTTGTGTGTCTGTGTATATGCATGCATGTATTTTGTATTATTTTGCTTGCATTCTAAGCCCTTTGTAATCTTCACAGAAAACAATACCAGCCTGCAGCCAAACTGGATTTATAGAAAAGATCAACTGCACAAAGTCTAACAGAGACGAATACAAAAGGTCAGTGACTCTCCATCTAAAATGTGTGTCTTAGTCTGTTTGACTAACGGAGCCAAGCTCTGAAGCCATATACATGTAGGCAAACCTTTAACAAAAGTCTCATTGGCTTTAATAGTAGCTAAAATGTAACACTTTTAACCTTTTATAGAGTTTTGACCTATTTTTTTGTACCTAATTTAGTTTAAATCACTCAGGTTTTTAAATGGAATGGGATGAATGTATAAACAACAAACTGTATGAAGTAAACCCATTTGCAAATGAAAGAAATGAGAATCATTTTGAAAATGATCAGGTAGTGCATATTAAATGTAGAATTGGCCACTCAATACTTAAACATGCATGTTTTTAAAAGGGTTAAAAAAACTATTTGTGACTTGTGTAAGACTATTTTGATGAACAAAAAACACATTTTACTAAAATGTAAAGTTTATTTGTTATTAGAGATCGATTTTATTCTGCAAATATTTTAAAACGGTGTTTTCTGGAGCTATGCTTTAAGTATTTATCATTGATTAAATTGAAACAACTTGTATGACTTTCAGTGTAGTTGTTTGTTGTTGTTTTTTGTATAATGAATTATTAAGAAACGGTTAAATTATATATTGAATATTTATTTCAAGTGTTGCTATGAATATAGCCAATGCTGCTGCTATAACATAAAAAAAAATAATAAAAAATAAATGTAATTTGTTGAGTCAATATATTGGAAAAGTGGCTTTTTCACACTTCTGAGTAAAAACTCAGCTTAAAATGGGAAGAAAAATTAAGAAAAGATTCAACCATTCTGATTGCCTTCTCATAATTCAGTTTCTGTAGTTTGCAATTAATTTGCCAATACATGTTTTTTTTTTTTCAGGGATAGAAACACTTTAAGCAAATATTTTCCCCATCATTCCTTTTCCCCCTATATAAGTTCAACTTGAAGTTTAATGCATATCCTAGGGCTGCATGATACTAGAAAAATCCGACATTGCGATATTTAGTTTCTCTGCAATAAATACAGGGGCAGCAAGGTGGCGCAGTGGGTGGCACAATCGCCTCACAGCAAGAAGGTATTTGGTTCGAGCCCTGGCTGGGTCAGTTGGCTTTTCTGTGAGGAGTTTGAATGCTCTCCCTGGGTAAGCTTTGGTTTTCTCCACGTGCTCCAGATTCCCCAAAGGCATGTGCTGTAGGGGAATTGGGTGAGCTAAACTGACCGTAGTGTGTGTGTGAATGAGTTTGTATGGATATTTCCCAGTAATGGGTTGCAGCTGAAAGGGCATCCGCTGTGTAAAACACATGCTGGATAAGTTGGTGGTTCATTCCGCTGTGGCGACCCTAGATTAATAAAGGGACTAAGCCAAAAAGAGAATGAATAAATAAAAAATACAAAAGAGTACAGACAGAAGTGTGATAGTAGTGTTTTATGCAGTCACAAAGTATTCAGGTACAGAATTTGAATAATCAGTGTAAAATACCACTGCAAAAGTTTATACTGTATAAATAATTAAATAAAAGTATTCTTTATTAAATAATACTATATGTGCCTGAATACTTTGAACTCTGTCAAACGTGCTAATGGTAATCGCTCACTCCATTATGGTGCAATAACTTCACAAGTTCACTTCTCATGTGTTCTGAACTGTTTCTCCTGGTCAACTTTAATCATAACTCCACATTGCATATCCTGTGTTGTGACTATTGTGGATGTGCACATTGCATAATCGATGTTAAAGAGATATATTGTGCAGCCCTAGCATATACAATTGAATCCAAAAATAATAGCTCTCCTGTGAATTAAAAACATAAATATTTCCCAAATGATGTTTAACAGAGCAAGGAATTTTTCACAGTATTTCCGATAATATTTCTTCTTCTGAAGAAAGTCTTATTTGTTTTACTTTAGCTAGAATAAAAGCAGTTTTAAATTTTTTAAAAACCATTTTTGGGTCAATATTATTAGCCCTTTTAAGCAATATTATTTTTCATTATACAATGATTTGCCTAATTATCATAACTCGCCTAATGCTAAGCTAATTCTCTTTCTCTTCGATTTTCCATCCAGCTGTCGCTCAACAAAAATGGAGGAGCATCTGTTTTGGAAATTTGAAGGCACCATGTTGGCTCTCACTGTTGTCTTTGCAATAATAGTGGTGATCAGGCAACGCTCGCTTGACCGCCAAGCTTCAGACAAGGTCCGGAGGCAGATAGAATCTATTTAGTTGACCAAACGAACAGTACTAAATGTTGAGGGGCTTTGGGGCCTGGTGTTGTAGACTCTCAGCAAAGGGCATAACCCAACAGCCCACAGAGACTCCCAGACTTTATCTGACTGGATGCACAAAGACTCTGAACAGACAAGGCGTGCTCTCACTTCCCAGACTGACATTAATCATGGACGCTTCTCTGTGCAGGATTTAACTTTACCTTCTCCAGTGGAATATCCATTTTGAATCGGCAAACATTATGCAAGATTGGAGTCCTGTCTCTATTTTGTTGAAGCTCTGCATATACCTGTCCTTACAAAAATGCTGTGAAGGTGGTGTGTGTAGAACGAATATGAGAGTGTGTGTGTTGCATGTTTTAAATAATCACTAAAGCACATCAAGTATTTTCATGAACAGAGAATGAACTCTTTGTTCTGTTATTATGGGTTAATGTTATACAGGATGTTTTTTTTTGGCTCTGTTCATTTTGGAAAGTGCTACAGATCATGTCTTTTTCCTGACTTTCTCTAAACTGACACACTCATCCATCCATTAACACAGACCTGTTTCTTCCTGGAGCCTTAAAAGTCATTTGAATACCCGTGAATGTGCAGGTGTCGTTTGTTAAAATCCTTTATTTTCAGTATATATTTTAAAGTGTTTCTCCTTTAGAAATTTTGAGATTTTCCTTTAGAAACTTTGAGAGTTTTTTTTTTTTGGTCATAGTGTTACTAAGTCTTTGCCCTCCTGAGTGTAAAAGAGATTTTTATATGAAAAGCATGTGAAGAAATGGCTTGGTTCGTGAAGTATACCAGCTCTGTAAACACATCTGACTGATATATGCAAGACTGCATTGTACTGTATATTGAAGCAGCTGGAGTTTGTTTATTCCCAAACCTTTCATTTTAAAGCACTTCACTGGCATTGCAAATTCTTCAATGGTTACTTTTCACTGAACACAAGATTATCTGCCGCCATCTGCAGAAAGACTACTGGTTTTGGGTATAGACGTACATTTTTATTTACAATAAGGATTGGTTTGATAAAATGATACATGTATGGTAAGGACAATAGGTGGTTATTTTATTTAAACTCCACACTTTATGAAAGAAACCATGTGAATTTGGTCCAGTTTTTGTCCTGTAGTCAACTTTACTGATGTACCTAAAATGTAAACAGTGTATTTTTATGAAAGATGTGTGACACTTCCTGTCCTCTGTTGATAAACTGAGGAATAAATAGGAAAATGAATTTTCTGTAGTCACGTGATTGTTTCATCAATGACTCGTATGCATTTTGTGATTTGATTTAAAGAGGGAGGGGAAAAGGGTGAGGTCACAATGTCCATAAAAAGAAATGAGAGCACTTTGATCGTTTTGGGCAGGAGCAGATGTGGCCATGCTGAGAATATTTCATCGCAGAACAGAACTTTTCAGTGTTGCACTGAGGAGAAAACAAAAAGGACAATGGTAAGAAATACTTCATTCTCAAATGCAGCTTAAGTTTGTTCAATTCTGCACAATGACGTGAAGCTTAAGTTTCCAGACTTGTCATCAACAAACTGTTGGAAGGATTTGTATAATCTGATTCAAATTAATGATACATGGCATGGCAAGTTTTTTGCTTATGTTCGGTTATATGTCTCAGTGAACCAAAGTTACATATTTAATTCAATTACACCTAATTTATTAATCAAAATTTGATGTTGTTTTGAGGGATATTGAGTAATTCTCAATGACATTTGTGATATTAAATAAACGGTGACAAGTTTGCATCAATTACTGGATGACCATGAAAGACTGCATGTATTTTTTATTTTACTGTTCAAACCGTATCACTTTTATTGTCACATCATCAGCAGCATGTGTACTGTGATGAGTGAAAAGCTTACGTGCTTTCTCCAGACAGTGCAAAATACAGACAGTCTAACTTCTATGTGCAAGCAAGTGTGTAATAAAATACAAACTATGCATGTAGTTTTATAGACGCACACAGCACAAATGCCTATTTTACAAGAAACATGTTTTGTGAACGCTGTCTGTTGGTGCTCTAAGTTTACCGGTTTATATAATTAATATTTTCACAATAGTATGAACCATTATAGGGGTGGTCAAATGTATATTTACATTATTATTTTAATAAAAATTATTTCTTAACGATTAAAGGGCAGATGCCCCACCCCCATACATCTTGTTTTGGTGTCCTTCAGGGGGGATCAAGCGTTAATCGGGGGGTCAGACCCCCAAACCCCCCTGAAATTTACACCCTGTATGGCAAGCATAATACAAATGTCACAAGTTTTGTCAATTTTAATTTTAAGAAAAAGCCTGATTTGAAGGGATAGTTCACCAAAAAATGAAAACATTATTTTCCCTCCTGCAATCAGTTTGAGTTTCTTGCTTCTGTTGAACACAAAAGAATCTATTCTGAAGAGCTGAAAACCTGTCAACATTAACTTCTACAGGCATCATCAAGTCAAAGTTAAGACTTAAAGACCCTTTTAAGATCATAAAGAATTAAAATTTTGACTTGTACAGGGTTAAGATTTTTTTTTTCTAATGGCCCAGTATTATCATGAGGAATCGTGTAATTGTTTTTAGTGTAAGGAATTTAATTTGGGGAATTCGCTGTAAAAATGTCTAACAGCTATTGTGAATTATCTCTTTGCAAAAAAAACTGAAATATAAAAAAATATGTATTGTTGGTCATTGGATGGAAGTCAGTCCAAATTGAGTAGGTTTACTTGGACAGCAAAATTAAGACCGGTTTAGAACAATTTAAGACCTACAACGCAATAATTCAGTGAGTTTAAGACTTTTCAAGGCCTAAAATATAGGTTTTGAAATTTAAGACTTTATAAGACCCAGCAGAAACCCTGCTTCAATTGTAGTAAAGACAATAGTGGAGGAAAGTGGTTAAGTTACAGGTTTCTATCTATCTTCATTTTCTTTCATATTTAACAAAATAAAGAAAGGTTTAAAGAAGTAAATAGTGATAAAATTTTAATTTGTGGGTGAACTGCCCCCTTTCAGGTTTTACGAAATAGCAGTGTTGCTGGTCACTATATACGGAATTAAAGTAAAGTGAAATACCAGAATTGTTATCCTCCTCCTCTTCAGACGTCTACAAACACCTGGCAAACGGTTGAACTTTTTCTTCAAAATGGGTACGACTTGTCTCTGAAGGTTGTCTTTAAAATTTGCCACATCTCTTGTCTGAAATAAACAGCGCATTGTACGGTTATCGAACGATCTGCAGTCTGAAGTGCGCACGCGCGATTTTTTAACTCACCGCTTCCGTCGGGTCGTCGATAAACAATCCAGTTGGTTGGTAATCCGGCGGTCTTGATTCGACGCCACTGGTTTTAAAGTAAATATATACAGCACAGTGCAGCACGACGACAAGTATTGATAAATTTGACATGATATTTTCAAACTAGTCACGTGTATTAGGCTAGTGCTTGCTCTGGTTGTGAGTCTGGTAAGTGTTTTCCCGTAAAGACTCGTCGGGTTTATTGGTTCAGACCTTCTACGTCATTCACAGGAGATTGTTGATCATCCTTGATGAAAGCGGTTTGATGAGATTTTCCAGGATTAATCGCTGCCATTCTGTGGCTAGATTTCTCTTTATACGACTCATCCCTCCCTTTATGACATTTAGCTGAATTTATAATGATGTCAAGTCTGTTGACACATCTCAGTATAACGTTAGGCTAATCTTCTTTGTTTAAAGAGGATTTAAAAGACAGAGGGGGTGCCCTGCTAGGCGGATGTATAGGCTTTTTTGACCTGTATCTTGTTATCTTGTTTGTTTTCTTAAGTTAGGAAAGAATATAAACGTGTGACAGTTTTTTTTATATAAAAAAGTTGCAGAAAAATTCAACATTTGCTAAATTAACCTCAGATTTTAGCGTCAGTGGGCGTGTGTGGTCATTAATGTGTGACACTTCATCTATTTTAATTGTACAAAAACAGACCATCATGCTAATTTATTTTAGTAATCATAAACATTCATTTATTAAGTGTTATAGACAAGCATTGAATCAAAAGATATTTCCAGAAAATAGTTTACTTCCACACTGAAAATAAGGTAGCAACGTTGAGTTTCACCATACAAGATTCCATCTTGTTAAAAATTTCACAATTTGTAGAAATCGTAATTACAACTCACTACAGTTTACAGTAAATGGGAACTTTGTATGACTTGTGTAATGCAGATTAATTAAGCTATGGAATTATACATCAGACAATCACAAAATGTAAAATGTTGGCGTATCGTTTGTGGTATATGCACACAGACTTTTAATTTTAGTCAGCCAGCCTCAGCGTTTACCATTATAAAATTACCACGTTTAAGGTCTGATTTCTGTAAAAATCTGTGATCTTTACTGCCTGATAGATATACGATATAAAGTGGGTCTCATACCGGACATGAAGCCCTGCATTAAGTTAAATTTCCTCCGACCATGTCTTTAAAATATGAGTTTATGTTAGTATTTTCAACTGAGTTTCTGCGCTCGCCTGCTAATCCCGACAGTGCTAGCAGTTACACAGTCTTTCATATCGTTTTACCCTTTAACTACTAAATAAATGCTTAAGTTTATTTAACTGATTGTATTTTAATGACATTACAATGTCAGTGCTGTTTAAGGAACCTTATGAAATTGAAAATGGACACATTAGGCTTTCACTGGAAGTTTATCATTGGCTGAAAAACACTAACTGTGCATATACCATATTACAGCATAGCATGAACAAAGTCAAGGTAACTGTTCTGCTTGAGCATTTTCTATAACAATGAATCAACAAAAATGTCAGGGTTTTAATAAGTACATAACACAAATGTAATTAAACATTGTGGCAAAATTTGAATTGCACTGAAAAAAACTTTTAAGCACTGCTCTATTCAATTAAAAGTGTATGTTTCATTTCAGTTTAATATTATTTGTTTTATTTTTCAGTAATATATTTTAAGTTCAAAACATAGTCAAACATATATGTTTTTGATTAAGTGCTCAACTAAGAAATATTTGTTTTGACCAATGTAATATTTTAAGGTTATTCACACAGGCCATTCATTCATTTATTCATTCATTCATTCATTGTCAGCTTAGTCCCTTTATTAATCTGGGGTCACCACAGCGGAGTGAACCACCAACTTATCCAGCAAGTTTTTTTATGCAGCGGACGCCCTTCCAGCCACAACCCATCTCTGGGAAACATCCACACACACATTCACACACACTCATACACTACAGACAATTTAGCCTACCCAATTCACCCGTACCGCACGTCTTTGGACTGTGGGGGAAACCGTAGCACCCAGAGGAAACCACGCAAACATGCGAGCTCCACACCGAAACGCCAACTGAGCCGAGGCTCGAACCAGCAACCTTCCTGCTGTGAGGCGGCAGCACTACCTACTGCGTCACTGCATCGCCATAGAAAATATAGTTTGAGGCAAATTATTTTTCATTGGGTCAAATGATAAAATTTAGATGTGAACCATTACTCAATTTTTTGGGGGTTGAATGAATGAAAGCTTTTTTTTCTAGTGTGATTGTTTACTCTAAAATTACAATTAGTTACATCATTGCAACATTTATCATAGCTTACTCAAATTGTTCCAACTCTGTAAGTTTCTTTTTTCAAATACTCACATTTTTCAAAATATCTTGGATGTACAAAAGAAGAAACAAATAAAAAAATGTTATGTAAGTTTAGTTTAGTTTAATCTTATGTAAGTTTAAGTGAACTACGCTTATAAAATGACTCTTAAGTGCATAAATAATATTTTCAACACTGTAAAAAAAAACCGCATACAGTTGAAGTCAGAATTATTAGCTCCCCTTTGATTTTTTTTAGATTTTCCAAATGATGTTTAACAGAGCATGGAAATTTTCATAGTATGTCTGATCATTTTTTTCTTCTAGAGAAAGTCTTATTTGTTTTATTTTGGCTAGAATAAAATAAGTTTTTAATTTGTTTAAAAACATTTTAAGGTCAAAATTATTAGCCCTTTTAATCTATATTTTTTAGATAGTCTACAGAACATTCATTCATCATTCATTTTCTTGTCGGCTAAGGGACTACATTTATTAATCCGGGGTCGCCACAGCGGAATGAACCACCAACTTATCCAGCACGTTTTTACGCAGCGGATGCCCTTCCAGCCGCAACCCAACTCAGGAAAAGTCTACAGAACAAACCATCGTTATACAATAACTTGCCTACTCTAACCTGCCTAATTAA